TATGCACACACACATTACAGAACACGCTGTCCTTCCAATTGAGACGCCCACCGTACACTTCCACACACCCCACCCCCTCGACCCTCCCCCGCTACTCAATCAACACACCAACACGCAAAACCACGAATATCCTACCACTCCTTGTGCCCTCCCACCTCCTCACCCATCTGACTCCAACTGTCATACTAAACCCCACCAAGCGATCACATATACTGAAACCCACTGACGCACGACACGTTACTACCTCGAACAACCAACAATCCCGACCAACTAACCAATTCACCCCAACCCTAATAACTATACATTACAACTACGCATTACGCCACGCCGACCAGTCCACTTCCACCATTCACATAAAAATATTTCTAGCGTATGTATTTGTGTCTTCGCTGTAGCGGTTAGAGTAGGGTTTTTCATGTAAAAGTGTGTATCGATGTGGTGTGCATATCATTTAGTCACATGGCTCATTTCATAACTAAGTTAAGAATTAAATATAGTTGTCATTCATATTTTACTTTAAAAAGTTGATACTACTATATAAATATAATACTTACTATATATAATATATTTTATATATATATATATATATATATATTTGAAATAGCTATGTATATACATTTGTCTAATAAGTGTTATCATATTATTATATCTATTATATTAATAAGTATATTTATATATATTACCTGTATCGCCAAACAAACCGTTCGTCTATATGCCTCCGCTGCACTCAGAGGTAGAGTCGATATAACTGGGTGAATTCCAAGCTCCCTCTGCTCCGACGGCCGACCCTGAAATAGAGCAACAACGCATAGTCAGTCGACATAGTACGGCAACAAATAAATGTACGCACCCCTTCATTTGCCGCAAATATACCGCCAAGGTCAAAACGGCTGCGAGTACGACCCCCTCCCCCATGCCACCACAGCCATAAAACCCATCATAATCGTTCTGGGGATATGTGTGTTTTTTGGTTTTTGTGGTTGGTGTTGGGGTTGATTGAACAGGATTTTAAATTTATTATATTATTGTACAGGTTTTTTCAATTTTCAAATTATTTTTAAAAAAAATATTGGAAGATTTTAGCAACGGATTATCCGTCGCTAAATACATTTTTAGCGACGGAAAATAGATAATATTAACGACGGATTTTCCGTCGCCAAAGTTAATAGCGACGGAATATTCGTTTTTTTATTTTTTTATTTTTTCAAAAATAGTTATTAGCGACGTATTTTCCGTCGCTATTAGTTATTAGCGACGGCTTTTCCGTAGCTAAAAGATTTTTTAGCTACGGAAAATCCGTCGCTAAAGTTTTTTTAATTTTTTAAATAAAGTAATGCGACGGATTATCCGTCGCTAATTTTTCGTCGCTAAAATTTAGCGACGGAATATCCGTCGCTAAAACAAATTTCAGCTACCCTCACTATACGGACGATCTTTTAGCGACGGAATTTTATATTTTCCGTCGCTAAAGTTTTTAGCGACGGATTTTCGACTTTTAGCAACGGATTTGTCCGTCGCTAAAAGTTATGTTTCCAGCAGTGTTCGTGGATTCGAAGATCGTTCTTTGTGGATTCAGAGAACACCCTTGGTGTATTTCGAGATTATCACTTTCGCACTGCGTCAATTGGTATCAGAATCTTGTTCCTCCGATCCGATGGCAAGTGATGAAGCTCATATTTCTCGAACTGAGTTTGACGTGCTGAAGACCGATTTTAATCAGATGAAGACTACTTTAGAACGACTTGCGTCGATAGTAGAGCGTCTGAACACGACAGGAGTTCAAAATCACGTTGATAGTCGCCAACGATGTGATCTGACTCCATATGATAAATTCAATAGGGACAATGATCTTAAGCAAGACATTAGAGTTGGGAAGAACAGTGAAAAAGTAATAAAGAAAGAAGAATCACCTCCAGAGCATAATATCTTTCGTACGAGATATACCGTGATGCAGAAGATTTGTAATATTATTATTGACAGTCACAATGGAAGGAATCTTGTCTCTCGGCGTATGGTGAATAAGTTAGATTTAAAGACAGAGAAACACACACCTCTCATTAAGATCGACTGGATTCACAAGGGCAATGATGTGCAGAACGATGAAGTGTGTCAAGTATCTTTTTCTATCGGTCGAACTTATATTGATGAGGTTTTGTGTGATGTTGTCGAGATGGATACTTGTCATATGCTTTTAGGTAAGCCATGGCAATTCAATAATGGAGCTACCCATAAGAGCAGAGATAATATTTATATCATCAAGAAAGATGGACGACGAATTGTGCTCAAGCCTCTTACAGAAAAGGAGCCATCTAAGATAAAGACTACTGAGAAGAAGGAACTCTTGGTGACAAACAGCAATGCTTTAACAGAAAACTTGAAGCAATCTGAAGAGGTCTGTGACTTGGTTGTAACTAAAAAAGAAGAACATGCCTCTACCAAAATTCCTCCTAAGGTGCAAACACTTGATATGCATGAGAAGCATGATGGTGATATGATAGTGAAGATGTATGATATGCATGATATTCTTAAAGTGATTGAGAGTGATATTGCACATATTGATGTTGTCCCGATAAAGGAGAAGGATAAAATAGAGAGTGAGACAATTGATGGTATGTGTGAATTGCTTGGTGGAGGGCTCGAGGCAAAGAAGATGAAAGAATTATGTATAGAGTATGAGGGAGAAATTTCTTTTTTGGAAGCAATGATCATCAATAATTTCAACAACAATGAGATGATACAACCGACACTAGAATATAGGAAGCAACAGTGAATATATTTAGAAGAGTTTTTCATGTCAATTACAGAGCCACATGTTGCCAATTACATACACATGTCATGGGAAAGATTCATACATAAGTTTTATACAGAAGAAGCCCTAGCAGAGGAGACAAAACAACATATGGAGAAAATCAATGCTAAATATAAGGCGGATGCAAATCATTGCAAGAGAAGAAAATTATTTATCAATGAAGTTACTATTTTAACAAATATAAGCTCGAGGTCGAGCTTCTTTCAACAAGGGGAGACTGATGTAGGACGCTTAATCTGAGTTGTAATCTATTTAGATTAGGAAATAAATTCAATTTTAGAGTCAAATTAGATTAGGAAACAAAATCAATTTTGATTCATAATTTGTTTTCTCTATTATAAGGAGTCTTTTTAGGATAGAATTTAACACTTTCTTTCTTTCTTGTAATTCTAGTCTTACTAGGAGTCTTATTATTTGATACTTTCTATTTTTATAATTCTAGTCTAGCTAAGAGTCTTATTTGTTTTTCTATTTAAGAAGAGTCATGTAACCCCAAAGGAGAATAACTTTTTCATCAATAAATTTTCTTTTTTCAATATTTTCTTCGTGGATTCGAAGTTCTTCGTGCATTCGAAGATCGTTCTTTGTGGATTCAGATAACACCATTGGTGGATTCCGAGGTTATCACTTCCGCGCTGCGTCAATATTAGTACCAAATTAGAGTTTGTTATTACCCAAACAAGAGCCATTGTATACGGACTAAGTCCTAACAAAAAACGTCAAACATGGTTTCCTCCCATTTTGGCTGCCCCGTTTTTTATGGAAAAGGGTAGAAACCTGGTTGATGAAGCCTCAGTTCTAGAAACCCTATGTATATGATTGTTTGGTTGGTTTCCATCCTTTGCTAAGAAGATATTCCATAGGTAAAATGTCGAGTATTTTGAGAGAGAGAGAGAGAGTTCCATAGGTAAAATGTCGAGTATCTTGAGAGAGAGAGAGCATAATAAGTGGGATAATAAGTGGGTGGAGTGTTGAGGTTGTAAAAATAAAAGAGAGAGAGAGAGAGGGAGAGAGAGAGAGAGAGAGAGAGAGAGAGAGAGAGAGCATAATAAGTGGGAGAGCATAACAAGTGGGTTGAGTATTGAGGTTGTAAAAATAAACAAGAGACCCACGAGGATCATTCAACGAGTAATAAGTGGGTGGAGTGTTGAGGTTGTAAAAATAAACAAGAGACCCACGAGGATCATTCATCGAGCTGCCCCCAGCCAACTTGCAACACCAACGGAAAGAGAAAAATGAGACCAGAGTACAAAAGAAAACTGAAGCAAGTTGCATTTCTTTTCTCGGCAAGTTGGTGTCATCGATGGCAAGTTGCACGGGCCAGCCAGCTACTGCTGATGATTCTCCATCACCACAAAGTAAGCACTTAAATTAATTTCTTTAATGCAAGTTGGTGTACTCCGAATGTACGTATCATGTATTTCAAGGGTACATTTGTCAGTATTTCTATATTAAATTTGATACTGAGTACAACTGGTTTCTGAATGAAATTAATATTGAAAACTTTATTTTTTTTAAATTGTACTTGCAGATTCGTTACATAATATATTTCTTCCATTGCCCGCTTTCATTGGTCAGAGAGAGGATACGTTTACAGTTACCAATATATATATATGCTCGAAAATAAATATAAATAACATTTATAAGTAAATTAAATAATAAAGCAAAATTCAACGATCATACATATTGATTTCAGTGCATCTTTTTTTTTAATAAAATGATAAAAATCCTAATTTAAGGATCATAAAGGCAACTCATTCTAAAATGTGGTCCATATTTATGAGAAACTTGTGATAATGGTTCTTTTATGAGCGTTGTTACAGGGATGGACATGTGGGATGTCTCACTCCTATTGTATAATGAACTGGCATGACCAGCTCATTATGCAATAGGGAGGGGACACCTCACATGTCCCCTCTCTTGATCATATATTTTGGATCCTTAAGATATTTTTCTTCTTTTATTTATACATCAGGTATAAAAATTTAGATTTTTTTTTCCGAAAATAAGAAAGAATATTTTTGTTTATTTTCTCTCTCCAAAAGATAGAAAAAGATGGGAGTCCCAAACTCAAGGGGCATCAAATTAAATGAATCGATCTGTTGGTAATTTATATTATCATGATCTTCAATAAAACTATACACGCTATTAATAAAAAAAAGTACAGATCAAATGAGCTGGTCCGCACCACTTTCTGAGTTGCTAATGAGCTTCAACTTCAAAAAATTACCGCAAATATTTCACATACGTACATATGAACCTAACGATCGAAAGAATTAATAACAATAACACTTGAAAAAAACAGTAATCTTCTCCTTCATGTGAAAACTAAAATATAAAAAAAAAACAATATAAACATACCCCAAAATGAGCTACAAAAACTAAACAACACATTATACACAGCTAGCTAGCTCCTCCGTGTTATTCTTGTAGTCTAATCCCCCAAGAAAAGGTAAATTGCTGACTGCCCCCCATCATCTACACCCTCAGCAGCTTACCACAGCATTTAACAACCTTTAATTCGCAAAAGAAAAAAGGACGCTCGTCTGCAACTCATCCTTAATGCTAAGGGGTGATAAAAGTCACTGTAGGCATAGATAAGGGGATCACCCGCAATTTACCCAAAGAAGAGGGCCAAAAAAAAAAGAAGGAAACAACAAGGATGAAATCGCTAATTTGCCCTCCCGCACCTCTGGAGCTTCTCCACCGTCATCNCTGCAGATTGCACCTGACGATCGTGTCGACGAACACGCACGTGTCCTCCACCGTGTTGCCCGCCGGCACGTCGACCACGTAGCTCTCGACCACCGTCGTCCCGTGGGCCCCACAGTCGTGCACCGTGGTCACCGACCTGTAGTTGCTCAGCCTGTGCTCGCCTCCCACGATCCTAAAGCTCATGACCTTCTTCTCGTCGTCGAGGATTTCGAGGCGCTCGGTGCTGGTGACGGCGGGATCCCGGAGATGAGGCGGACTCGCGGAGGCAGCCGGCGCGAGGAGGAGGAGTCGCCGTCGAGGAGGCGGCAGGACTTGACGAAGCGCTTGTAGGACTGGGGGAGTCGAGCGGCGGAGGAGGGCCCACACGGTGGAGGCGGGCGGAGATGGTCTGGATCACGGTTGAGGAGCACTGGTCCGGCCCACCGGGAGGTCGTGCAGGTGGGCCATGGAGTCGGGGAAGGCGGTGGGGGGGTGCACATTTGGGTGTGCTTTAGGGGGTTGAAGGACGAGGATCTTGGGGAGCTTGAGGAGATGTGAGGCATTTTTTTGGTTGAGAGTGTTTTTTTTTTTTTTTATCTTTATTTTTATTTTTCTTGGTTTGGTTTGGTTTGGGCTGGGAGAGGGGGTGTATTGGGATATATAGTGATGTGGTGTAAAGTTGCATTATTTTTATTTATTTATTTATTTATTTTGGTTTTTGGCGTTCAAGTGGGGGTGCTAGGTGTTCTTTATTTTTTTTTGCAAATTGCATGATTTTTAAAGAAGGATGGTCTCCATTATGGGGATCTTGTTCAAATTGGCTGTTTCCGAGGAGGCACTATTTTGTTTCAGTATCTAGGGGATTGAGGGGTCAAGTTTTGCAATAGTAACATATTTATTCTTTGAATGGTTTGAGAGTGAAAAAATAATTGTAATATGACATTCATAGAAAAAAGCCGTAACATTTGCTACAGCCAATTTAGATGTACCGAGTTCTTTTATTATTTGAAATTAAAAACTAAAATATCACATTATCAAGTTAGTTGATGATGGGAGAAGTTGCAAATTCATTTGATTGACCGCGGTACTGTAATTCGAGAACAAACAAAGCCTCTTATGCAAATTGCTCAAATCTTCTATTTATCGCTAGCATTGTCTTTTTGGCAATTTGCAACTAGCTAGTAAACGGCAATTCTAATGGTGGCTCTTCCCAATGGCTATACTTCTTCTCTTTTTCTCTTTTTTTTCCTTTTTTTATTTTTATTTTATTTTTTTTTTATTTGCCAATGGATAATTGAACAAGGAGGGAGGGTGGGCCGGTTGGACCTAGAAATGGTTAATTAAATCGAGAGTTGATCTTATGGGCAATAAATATAGAAATATGAACCATTTGGATGAGGGAGCATTACTTCATTACCCTCATCTAGGATTGTAGCTTAAATTATGACTTTGCCCTTAAGATTTCTCTTGAGGATCTTGTGTCTAGTCACTTTTGTAACTAGTTGGCCGTTTGAACTATCAACAAATATGAACCATTTGGATGAGGGAGAATTACTTCATTACCCTCATCTAGGGATTCTAGCTTAAACTGTGACTTCGCCCCTCATGATTTCTCTTGAGGATCTTGTGTCTAGTCACTTTTGTAACTAGTTGGCCGTTTGAACGCTATCAACTTTTCTTGGGAAAAACGAAATGGCATATATTCTTATGCCAACGAGGACATCCAAGTTTGAGAAAATGAAGGGGACTCGTCTTTGATTCTGCCATATTTAGATTCAAAACAGTGAACGTTTTGTTTGGTTCGTGAAAAACTATTACAACATCTAATATTTGGTTTCATGAAAGAATGGATGTAAACTTGAAGGAGGGATCACTAACAATTCCAATGAAAAATAGACATATCACTTTATTTCAAATTTTGTTTCATATATATATAGGATATCCTCGTGAATTTGAGTGTATAAGTTAAAAAAAATATAAATAACTAAAATTGGATT